GCTGTAGAAAATAGACTCCTTCGGGTAACTGTTGATCACATTTTAGCACCTAACACTATCTTTTGTTGTAATTTAGATGTTGACATGAATAGCTCCTAAGTTAGGTTGGTAAATTCTTTGGTGTTGAAGCCATGTCTTAACAATCTTTCTACAAACCATGTGCCTGGCACATAGTAGGTGTAACCACCCTCCTCAAGTATTTGTTGGAAAAAAAAATTGGTTCCTGCTCTTGTTTGGTGTAGAAATCATTTGAATACTGGTTGTTAATAAAGTTAATTTCTAGCATAGTGGTAAAACTTTGAGAATATTGGCAAAAGGGTAAACCGCAATCACTAGGGTTTTCTGATCTCATTTGAGAATTTTCCCCACAAACAAGTGCACAGTTCTCAATTTACTATTTTGTTTGGGTGTATAAAGGAGTGACTCAGCTCTTCCAGGCTGCATTGAATTTAGCAAACTGAACAAATAGAAACTTGTTTCTCAAAAAATGAAGCTTGTTTTTGAAACATTATTATGATTTTAAGTTTTTTTTTTTGCCATAATATCAAAGCATGACTGTAATCATGGGGGAAAATTAAAATTGAACTTTACATGAGCCACAAGTCAGAGCTATGGAATCTGGAACTGAAAATTCTACTGTCAAGGCCAGAGAAACTTGGTAAATATTTCCAGTGTCTTCATTTCTCAGTGTCTTAGTACAATGCAGATGATAATTATTGTTTATCCAGCTCATAGCATCATCTTAGCATGAGTCCATTCTTACTTGGACGCATATCCTTTTCATTTCCCCCTTGTTACCCAGGTATTTGGAAACTAAGGCTCAGAGGGACAGGTTATAGGACACATTGTAAGCACTTAATTTCTGAGTTTGTCACTCCTTTCCAAAGCTTTACAAGAGTGGTTTAATGTTAATGTTATAACATTCCTTTATTTGTATAAAATGTTCTATAAAAGCAATGTCCTCTTATTTTTTAACTTAACCCTTTGAAGACCCAATTATTTTCTGTTTTGAATTTTTCATTGATGCCATGTGTTTTCATTAATGGAAGCATGCTGAATCATTGAATGTGTCTGAATTTTTAGTAGATAGTATGGAGTTTTTTTCTTGCCCCCTCCCACAAGCCTACCAAGTATTGAGTGGTACATACGAAGTACCACTAATTATACTCCAGAGTCTCCACCAGGGTCTATTGGTACATATGTGTAACAAATAAAAATTTTTAAAATTTCTGTTTTCCTACCAAAAATTCAGACACCTCATACAATATCGTGTAAAAACAGTTATTTGTGGCACGCGCCCTTTTCTTTGGTTTCAAACATTCGTAAATGCCCCTGCCTTGTGGCAGCACCCGCTGTCAGTGGTACAGCAACTTCCCAATAAACCCCAGAGGATCAAAAATCTCATGGTTGCTATATGTACTGCCAGACACAAAAGGGTTAAAAATAGACATATATTCATTCTTCTTAAGTTAAAATATTTATTAGTCATAATGGATTTAGTATAATTTCTAAATGTGTTACTGATTTTTTAGAGTTCAGGTTTTGTTCTTGGTTAGAGAAATATTAGAAAAAATTCAAATTAAGTTTTTAAAAAAATCTATATTACTATTATTCATGTAAGCTATAGATAAGTACATCAACTTACTATGTTGTTTTAGTTGGAAATAACCTAATCTATAAATACTTCATTGGGAGCTTTTTAAACGGACTTCCAAATAAACTGTTATCTATACTGATGCTTCTGTCTTTTATGCTTATTGTTACTGATTTTTATTTTAATTTAACAATTTTACATGCTTCCAGAAAGTGAAGTGTTAAATGTCATTACTAATAATAGTTCTCTGACAAATTTTAAAACATTGACATTTCTTCAGTTGGACAAAACACTAGGTTCTTATCCAAAGTAATGTACATTGTTTTTCTGATCGGCAATGACTTCTATTTTAGTGACAGTCAATTGCAAACATAGACGTTTTCCCTTTTTGGATAATAAAGTAATCTTAAAAAAGATAACACTTCTATAAAAATTATTCCCCACTAGTGGGATTATGGAAACCTTGGTGGCATAGTGGTTAAGAGCTATGTCTGCTAACCAAAAGTCAACAGTTCAAATCCACCAGGTGCTCCTTGGAAACTCTATGGAGCAGTTCTGCTGTAAGTCAGAATTGACTCGATGGCAACAAGTCAGGTTTTTAATGGGGTTATAAAATACACAGAAAAGGCTCATGTTTCCTATATTAATTGCTAACGAGATATAATACGGATTATTCCCATTCCCATGACATCAAAGATTATTGTCCGCTAACATGTTATTTTTTCAATTTTGACAAGAATATGTTCCTAATATTTCACATGCTTTATTCCTAGAACTTAACACGGGAATTGGAGAACAAGGAAAAACAGCAACTGCAGATGCTGGATCGACTTAAGGAGATCCAGAATCACTATGAGACATGTGAGGCTGAGCGTAAGCGTGCTGACCTCCAGATTTCAGAGCTGACTCAACATGCAGAGGATGCGACCAGACAGGCAGAGCGGTATCTCAGTGAGTTCCAGCAGTCAGAGGTCCTGAGAGAGGAGGCAGAAAAGAGGAGAGAAGAGCTGAAAATGAAAGCTCAGGAATCCATTAAGCAGTGGAAGCTTAAGCATAAGAAATTAGAGCGAGAGTTGGAGAAACAGTCTGAAACTCTTGATGAACTGACAGACAAGAATAATCAGGTATAAAAGGGAAATTCCTAAGGAATGGTTTTTGCTGTGACCCACCATTCACTCATTCATTCATCTGTCCTTGAGTGCCATTCTGTCCATATAATCTATTAGTATCTCCTTGATACTCTTTTTTTTCTTTATTGTAGTTTAGATGAAGGTTTACAAAACAAACTAGTTTCTCATTAAACAGTTAGTACACTTTTTTTTTTTTTCTGAATTGTGCTTTAGGTGAAAGTTTACGGCTCAAGTTTTAGTTTCTTACACAAAAATTTATACACACATTGTTATGTGACCCTAGTTGCTATCCCTATAATGTGCTGGCACATTCCTCCTTTCCACCCCGGATTTCCTGTGTCCATTCAGCCAACTCCTATCCCTTTCTGCCTTCTCATCTGGCCTCCAAACGGGAACTGCCCATTTAGTGTCCTGTATCTACTTGAGCTAAGAAGCAAACTCTTCACGAGTATCATTTTATGTCTTAAAGTCCGGTCTAATCTGTCTGAAGAGTTGGCTTTGGGAATGGTTTCAGTTCTGGGTTAACAGAGAGTCTGGGGGCCATGTCTTTTGGGATTCCTCCAGCCTCAGTCAGACCATTAAGTCTGGTATTTTTACTGGAATTTGAATTCTGCACCCCAGTTTTCTCCTGCTGCATCAGGATCTCTCTGTTGTGTTCTCTGTCAGGGCCGTCATCAGTGGTACCAGGCACCATCTAGTTCTTCCGGTCTCGGGCCGATGGAGTCGCTGGTTTATGGGGCCCTTTCTGTCTCTTGGGCTAATATTTTCCTCAAGTCTTTGGTGTTCTTCATTCTCCTTTGCTCCAGGTGGGTTGGGACGAGTTGATGCATCTTAGATGGCTGCTTGCTCGCTTTTAAGAACTCAGACACCACTCACCAAAGTGGGATGCAGATCATTTTCTTAATAAACTTTGTCATACCGGTTGACCTAGATGTCCCCTGAAACCATGGTCCCTGGACCCCTGCCCCTGCTTATCTTTCCCTCAAAGTATTTGGTTGTATTCAGGAAACTTCTTAGCTTTGGGTTTAGTCCAGTTGTGCTGGCTTCCCCTGTATTGTGTGTTGTCCTTCCCTTCACCTAAGATGATTCTTGTCTACTATCTAGTTAGTGAATTCCCCTCTCCCTCCCTCCCTCCCCTTGTAACCATGAAAGAATGTTTTCTTTTGTGATTAAACCTTTTCTTGAGTTCTTACAATAGTGGTCTCAAACAATATTTGTCCTTTTGTTACTGACTAATTTCAGTCAGCATAGTACCTTCCAGATTCATCTATGTTATGAGATGTTTTGCAGATACGTTGTTGTTCTTTATCATTTCGTAGTATTCCATTGTGTGAATATACCATAATTTGTTTATCCATTTGTCCATTGATGGGCACCTAGGTTATTTCCATCTTTTTGCTATCGTGAACAGTGCTGCCATGAACATGGGTGTGCATATATCTATTTGTGTGACAGCTCTTATTTCTCTAGGATATATTCCAAGGAATGAGATTGCTGAATTGTATGATACTTCTATTTCTAGCTTTTTAAGAAAGCACCAAATTGATTTCCAAAGTGGTTGTACCATTTTACATTCCCACTGACAGTGTATAAGTGTTCCAGTCTCTCCAAAACCTACCTACCGTTTATTATTTTGTGTTTTTTGGATTAATGCTAGCCTTATTGGGGTGAGATGGTATCTCACTGTAGTTTTGATTTGCATTTCTCTAATGACTAATGATTGTGAGCATTTCCTCATGTATCTGTTAGCCGCTTGGTGAAGTGTCTGTTCATATCCTTTGCCCATGTTTTAACTGGGTTATTTGTCTTTTTGTTGTTGAGGTTTTGTAGTATCTTGTAGATTTTAGAGATTAGACCCTGACTGGATTTATCGTAGCCAAAAATTTTTTCCCAGTGTGAAGGTTGTCTTTTTACTCTTTTGGTGAAGTCTTTTGATGAACATAAGTGTTTGATTTTTAGGAGCTTCCAGTTATCTAGTTTCTTTTCAGGTGTTTGTGCATTGTTACTTATGGTTCGTATTCTGTTTATGCCATGTTTAGGGCTCCTAGTGTTCTCCCTGTTTTTTCTTCCATTATCTTTATTGTTTCAGATTCTATATTTAGGTCTTTGATCCATTTTGAGTTAGTTTTTGTGCATGGTGTGAGGATGGATATCCAGTTATGCCAGCACCGTTTGTTAAAGAGACTTTTCCCCATTTAATGGACTTTGGGCCTTTGTCAAATATCAGCTACTCATAGGTGGATGAATTTGTGTCTGAATTCTCAACTTTGTTCTGTTGGTGTATGTATCTGTTGTTGTACCAGTACCAGACTGTTTTGACTACCGTGGCAGTATAATAAGTTCTGAAATCAAGTAGTGTGAGGCTTCTCACTTTGTTCTTTTTCTTGAGTAATGCTTTATTTATCTGGGGCCTCTTCCCTTTCCATAGGAAGTTGGTGATGTGTTTCATCATCTCATTAAAAATTGTCATTGGAATGTGGATCGGGATTGCATTGTATCTATAGATCGCTTTGGGTGGAATTGACATTTTCACAATATTGAGTCCTCCTATCCATGAGCAAGGTATGTTTTTCTACTTATGTAGGTCTCTTTTGGTTTTTTGCAGTAGTATTTTGTAGTTTTCTTTGTATAGGTCTTTTACGTCTCTGGTTATATTTATTCCTAAGTATTTTATTTTCTTGGGGGCTATTGTAAATGGTATTGATTTCACGATTTCCTCTTTGAAGTTCTCTTTGTTGGTGTACAGAAGTCGAACTGATTTTTGTATGTTTATCTGGTATCTTGATACTTTGCTGAAATCTATTAGTTCTAGTAGTTTTCTTGTGGATTCTTTGGGTTTTTCTGTGTATAAGATCATATCATCTACAAATAAGGATACTTTTACTTCTTGCTTACCAATTCGAATTCCCATTATTTCTTTTTCTAGCCTAATTGCTGTGGCTAGGACCTCCAGCACAACGTTGAATAAAAGTGGTGATAAAGAGCATCCTGTCTGGTTCCCATTCTCAAGGGGAATGCTTTCAGACTCTCCCCATTTAGGATAATGTTGACTGTTTGCTTTCTATAAATGCCTTTATTATGTTGGGGAATTTCCCTTCTATTCCTATTTTGCTGAGAGTTTTTATCGTGATTAGGTGTTGGACTTTGTCAAATGCCTTTTCTGCATCAATTGATAAGATCATGTCATTCTTATCTTTTGTTTAATTTATGTGATGGATTACACTGATTGTTTTTTCTAATGTTGAACCATCCCTGCATACCTGGTATGAATCCCATTTGGTAATGGTGAATTATTTTTTTGACATGTTATTGAATTCTATTGGCTAGAATTTTTTTAAGGATGTTTGCATCTATGTTCATGAGGGATATTTATCTGTAATTTTCTTTTTTTGTAGTGTCTTTACCTGGTTTTGGTATGAGGGTTACGCTGGCTTCATAAAAAGAGTTTGTGAGTATTCCATCCTTTTCGATGCTCTGAAATACCTTTAGCAGTAGTGGTGTTAACTCTTCTCTGATAGTTTGGTAGAATTCTCCAATGAAACCGTCTGGGCTAGGGCTTTTTTTTTTGTTGGGAGTTTTTAAATTACCTTTTCAATCACTTCTTTTGTTATAGGTTTATTTGGTTGTTCCATCTCTGTTTGTGTTAGTTTAGGTAGGTAGTGTGTTTCTAGAAATTTGTCCATTCCCTCTAGGTTTTAAAATTTGTTGAAGTACAGTTTTTCATAGTATTCTGTTATGATTCTTTTAATTTCAGTTGGGTCTATTGTGATATCGCCCATCTCATTTCTTGGTTATCGCCCATCTCACTTCTTGTTTATTTGCTTCCTCTCCTGTTTTTCTTTTGTCAGTTTGGCCAGTGGTTTACCACTTTTATTGATCTTTTCAAAGAACCAGTTTTTGGTCTTATTGACTCTTTCAATTGTTTTTCTGTTTTCTATTTGTTTAATTCTGCTCTGATTTTTATTATTTGCTTTCTTCTGGTGCCCAAGGGCTTCTTTTGCTGCTCTCTTTGTTTGTTTGAGTTTTAGGGTTAATGTTTTGATTTTGGCTCTTCTTCTTTTTGGATGTGTGCATTTATTGCTATAAATTGACCTCTGAGCACTGCTTTTACTGTGTCCCAAAGGTTCTGGTAGGATGTGTTTTCATTCTCCTTTGATTCTGTGAATTTCCTTATTCCATCCTAAACTTTCATCTATAACCCAGTAGTTTTTTAGCAAGGTGTTGTTCAGTTTGCATGTATTTGAGTTTTTTTTTTTGGTTGTTGCTTTTTCTGTTATTGGTTTCTATGTTTATGGCTTTGTGGAGAGAAAAGATGCTTTGTAATGTTTCGATGTTTTGGATTTTGTTAAGGCTTGCTTTGTGGCCTAATATGTGGTCTGTTCTGGAGAATGTTCCATGTGCATTGGAAAAGAGAGTATACTTGGCTGCTGTTGAGTGAAGTGTTCTGTATATGTCTGTGAGATCAGGTTGGTTGATTGTGGCATTTAGATCTTCTGTGTCTTTATTGAGCTTCTTTCTGGATGTTCTGTCCTTCGCCGAAACTGATATGTTGAAATCCTACTATTATTGTGGAGCTGTCTGTTTCTCTTTTCATGGCTGTTAGAGTTTGCTTTATGTATTTTGGAGCACTGTCATTGGATGCATAAATATTTATTATGGTTATGTCCTCCTGGTGTATTGATCCTTGAATCATTATATAATGTCCTTCCTTATCCTTTGTGGTGGCTTTTACTTTAAAGTCTATTTTGTCAGAGATTAATATTGCCACTCCTGCTCTTTTTTGAGTATTTTTTGTTTGATATATTTTTTCCATCCTTTGAGTTTTAGTTTGTTTGTATCTTTAAGTCTAAGGCGTGTCTCTTGTAGGCAGCATATAGACGGATTGTGTTTTTTTATCCATTCTGCCACTCTGTCCATTTATTGGTGCATTTAGTCCATTTACATTCAGGGTAATTATTGATAGGTATGAGTTTAGTGCTTTCATGTTGGTATGT